CCCCCCCCCCCCCCCCCCCCCCGCGCAGGGTGATGTTGATGGAAAGGGCAATTGCTATGTTCACACAGCAACGCTGAACCAGCCCATTCCGACCGCTCACAACCATCACATACGTGACAAGCGGAAGAAATAGACAGTGTGATTTTAGAGGCGTTCCAAATGTTGCGTGTAAAAACATGTATGATTCAGGACCTAGTATAGAGTCAATGAACGCCCTTCCAAATGGTAGAGTCGGAACGTTCCTCCCTCACATCCTACCCAACCTTGCAACCTTCCATCTTCTTGTGCCTGCGCTTTCCCAACGCACACGTGCAGAGTCTGTTTACACTGCAAGAGCAGCAAGAGCATCGTCATTAGAGCCAAACCTAGGTCTTTATAAACAGCTCATCCCCCCTCCTCCCACTATCTTTCTCCCACCTCACTTTCGAATCAACTCTTCACATCTCTCGTCCTGTTTCCTACTCTTATGAAGTCCTGCAACCCTTCTTGGTCTACCTTCTTGGTCTACCTCAACCTCTTTTGATCGACCATCCACCGCCCTCGCTTCTCATCGAACTTCAGAAGTGCTGCGTTTGCAAGCAATCATCATCACCAGTTCAACAGCTCCATCGGACGTTCTCAACCCAGCAGACCCACCCTCTTCACTCTCGACCGCCTATCTCCTGCCTCCTCGGCGTCCTCGAGTACCCACAACAATGCGTCGACTGAGCAGAAGATACATGCTGGGGTTGCTCGGGTTCTGAGGTGGAGGATACAAGGGCAAATTGCAAAGGTAGGGTCGGCCTTCCCAGTGGTCCCAGTCCACATTGCTGAAAATCGAAAACGCACTGCGGTGCGCGGAGAGGTTGGATGGTGGGTATGTTTACCCCCTCCCCTTGCTGACGAGAACTTAGATACTACAGCAGAGTGGACGCAAGGATAGGGAAGGCGGGCTTTTTACATTGCACACAGCTTTTTCACCACCCTACCAGTCAAGTGTGGTTCACACGCAGGCTGACACGAAAAAAAATGTGTGCAGGTTCGTTCCGCGGTTCTCACAGCTCGTTTCGTTCTTATCCGGTTCCGAACCACGGTTTGCTCGGCTCACCTGCAATACTTGTCCGCGAAAGTCGACGCGCCGCGCGTCTGAGTCCCCATTTCCTCTACCTTCGCTGGTACCGAGCCCAGTCCCGACGCTCATACGCTCGTTTCGTCTTCGGGTGAGCCAGTGTTCTTGGTACAACTGGCAGGCTGAGCTTTGGTGTTGGACTTCGGGTTCGCGGACGATTTGCGGTAAGGGTTGGCAGCAGTGTGTAGAAGAACCAAGAATAAACGTTTGTCTCATCCACGATTCTTGCAACGCGTTCCAATCAACAATGGGTGAGTTCCAGTTGTCTTGTGGTTTCGCAACCCAGTGCTTTGCAACGTTTGTCTCCTCTTCGATAGACTGATGTATCGCTCGTAATGATGAAATATGCCCGTGCGAAGACTACCGAAGTTTGTACACAATTCTTGAGCGCCTTTGAGACTGCCCATAGCCTATGTACGGATAGACTGATCGAGAGCAGAGGCTATCGAGGCCAGGTGCAACGGAAGGAACGCAGGAGTTTTAGATGCCATTAGTCTACTGATAGGTGGAACCAGACACGAGGAATGTGCATTTTCACTTGAATCTAATCTTTTCCAAGACTACGAGATCAGATCAAGCATCTCTATGACCATCGTGTTCCTCCAACTCTCGCCTCTTGCGTATATGCTCGCCGTAGATACCCCAGAAACAAGCGAAGATACCCAATATGCTCGATGTGAGAGTGACATAGTACGCTGTGCGGTAACACGAGAGACCCAGCTCACATCCACGTTGACCATCTGGCTCAACTACCGAGTTGGAGTCATAGACCGCACCGTAAAAGAGATTGAAGACGTTTCCACTGACGACGGGTGCCAGAGTCATGAAGCCCCAGTTGACGGCGAAGCCATCGGGACCAAACGCATCGACTACAAGCGCTGGGAAGACACCGAATAGAACGCCATATGCGAGTCCGGAGAGTCCGGACACAGCCCACAGGAAGTGGGGATCCTCAACACGAATGGCGGCGACTTGAGCCAAAGCAAAGATTGTGGCAGAGATGGCTGCGCACCAAAAGCGTGAGTGATGTAGTCGCTTGACAATAAGATCGGAACCAATGCCTGAAGATAGACGTCCTAAGAAGGAACAGAGCGAGATTATGGACACATGCCATAGCTGACGGTCAGCGACAAAGGCGTTCTTGACGGAGTCGTCCCAGTATTTCCAAAGGGCCTGAACGTCGTGACCAATATTGCTGCACCAGTCAGTGATGACCACGATGGAAGTCTGGAGTATACATACTTGATTGTCATCAAACCAACTCCAGATAGGAGACCCATGAGTACCCATAGCTGCCAGAATTCCGGTTTGTTCAGAAGTGCCAAACCAGTGATATCTACACATGAGTGAGCCGACTTTTTGCTTGCTGCATCGTCGTCATTGTCGATGATGTCGCCAGGGCCAGACGAGAGAAGTGACGAGGTCTCGGTTGAGGGACGGTCCTGTTCTTCTTCGGCTGCTAGAAGTGGTTGGCAGGTGACAAGGGGAAGACAGGGGTGGAAAGAAAGCAGCGCTTACTAATTTCTTGCTGTGGAAGAGCAGATGATTTGTACTTGGAGCCGTTGGATCTCGTCTTGTGGAGGACATTGGAGTTGCGTCGCGTACGTTCGCTGGTGGGTAGCACAGCATAGCCGGTGCCAGCTTTGTGGTCGACGACGATGAGGAAGGGTATCGATACCAGAACGAGTAGGGAGGTGGCGAGAGAAAGCATCATAAGCAACCCAGAGGTATTACCTGGGAATGCTATGCCGGCGATGAGAGTGTAGAAGAAGGCGCTCAATCCGAAAGCAGCCAATGGGCAAGCAGTAGCCGATCCGCGATGAGTAGGCCAGTTGAGTGTCGCTGTGATTGTTAGCATAGACCCAACATGAGGTGATGAGGGTATTACCCGTCTTCAAGGCAGCCTGGAAGGCAGCACAGCTGCCCACACCGCTGAAAAAGGAACACAAGGATATCAGGCCAACGCTCATGTAGCCTGGACCTCCATCATATGCTGGCGACAGTTAGACAACAATCTGGCGAGCAGGTACTAGGTATTCTACCGAGCTTGATCGGATAGTAGCCAACAAAGAGCGCGAACATGCCGATAATCGCAGCAAGTCGCGGGCTCTTTCTATCCGTTATGATGCCCATGGGTATGCCAGAAGCATACATGCCCAGGTTGGCGGCCGTTCCCTATTATTGTAAGACGACGTTCGTGTGCAGGAGGTACGCAGGATGGCATACGACGACATTACTCTGGGTCGCAGAGAGTTGGAGCTTATCGGCGAACTGCGGTGCCCATGCTGAGTAGGCATACTGGGGTCTGTTAGCATCCCACTCCAGATGTATGACGGAGACGTACATTTGTACCACAAGCAAGCGCGATTGCGGTGGCAGCAACGACGGATATAATGCGCGTCTTCTTGTGGGTGGGAGGCTGCTCTTCGGCGACCATGTTGGCCAGTGTGAATGAGGTGTTATTGCAGTGCGCTGATCATCGAGTGCGGGAGATATCGAGTTGCGCAATCGCGGACTGGAACTGATATCGGCACTTGCTAAGCCGAGGAACTAATAGCGCAGGTAAAGATATGCAAAAGAAGCAAGCAAAGAACGAAGGACGTGGAAGGAGTCTATAGTGCGAAGCAAACAAGAAGTCAGGCTAACCCCAAGACACCACACCGATGTTTGTCGAGTGAATGGAGAGTCGAAGTGAAGCATGGCCGTTGCAGCTGATCGGAGATAAGATGGCCAAGGCGTGACTTGGCGGCAGGAGCCGCGACACAAGCGCATGCGCAGGAACGTCACCGGCCTCATCCTCGTGCCTCCAGCTTCTCCACAACACCACCCCGGCGACTCACGGCATCTCAACCATGGGCGCATTACTATCCGTCCCCTTCCTGGCTATGCCCGCCATGGGCACCGTACGTTGACACGCTCCGTCGCGACTGCGCGCCGCTAACATGGCCAGGTTTGGAGCGTTGCCGCCTCCTGCTGTGGCGCCGCGACTTGCAGCGCCGTCATGGGCTCTTGCGGAGGGAAATGCGGTAACAGGTAGGACTACGAGCCTGGGAGATATGTTCATCGTATACTGACTGCGCGCAGCATCGCCACCCGTATCGCATACGCGCTCATCCTCCTCATCAACTCGATTGTCTCATGGATCATGCTCACCGACTGGGCCATGAAGAAGCTTGCCCACCTCACGCTGGATTACGTCGACATCAAGTGCCACGGCGAACAATGCTACGGATACGTTGCAGTGCAGCGCATCAACTTCGCCCTCGGTTTCTTCCACGTCCTCATGGCGCTTATGCTCATCGGAGTACGGTCTTCCAAGGACGGTCGCGCCACCATACAGAACGGCTTTTGGGCTCCCAAGATCATGGGCTGGATCGGCATGATTGTCCTGACCTTCTTTGTCCCGAACTCGTTCTTCATCGTCTGGGGCAACTACTTCGCCATGGTCGGCGCGTGTCTGTTCCTACTCATCGGTCTCATCCTGCTCGTGGATCTGGCGCACAACTGGGCCGAGTACTGCCAGGAGAAGATCGAAACCACCGAGTCGCGCGTCTGGACAGGCATGCTCGTGGGTAGTGCCATGTCCATGTACCTAGCGTCAATCGCCATGACCATTGTCATGTACATCTTCTTTGCAAAGAGTGGATGCGGCATGAACCAGGCAGCCATTACCGTAAGTTGACTTCTGGACATATGCTGAAACTAGCTAACTCAGTCAGATCAACTTGATTCTGCTCCTAATTTCATCCGTCGCCTCGATCCACCCCGCAGTACAGGACGTAAACCCCCGAGCTGGTCTCGCCCAATCCGCCATCGTAGCCGTTTACTGCACTTACCTCACTCTGTCTGCCGTGGGCATGGAACCCGATGACCATCAATGCAACCCCCTCATTCGCGCCCGTGGAACTCGTAAGGCGACCATCATCATCGGCGCCATTGTCACATTTGTCACAGTTGCCTACACCACCACCCGCGCAGCAACATACGGCCTCGCTCTGGGCGCCCAAGGCAATCCTCACGGAAACGGCTACGCTCAGGTTGGCACCGAAGACTACGAACATGGCCTGGTCACACAGCAACCCGAGTCCCGTCGCGACATGCGCCAAGCTGCCCTACGCGCCGCCGTAGAGTCTGGCTCTCTCCCCGCCTCTGCACTCGACGACTCTGACAGCGAGGACGAAGACGATGAGCCCTCCAGCAAGAAGAACCCGCGCGATGACGAGCGCAACGCGACGCAGTACAACTACACCCTCTTCCACATCATCTTCTTCCTCAGCACAACATGGGTTGCCACTCTCCTCACCACAAACTTTGACGAGAAGGATGTATCCGGTAGCTTCGTTCCTGTCGGCCGGACGTACTGGGCCAGTTGGGCAAAGATTATCAGTGCATGGGTGTGCTACGGCATTTACACATGGACACTGGTTGCTCCTCTTGTGCTGCCAGATCGATTTGACTACTGATAGCAAAGCAGACAATTAGATCACGGCATACTTTAGTTTGTCTTTGTACAACATGTTTTAGGATTGTATTATCATCTAGTACTATGTATGGTTTCGCGTCCGCCCACGTGTCGCGATTTGAGTACGAACAGCATCCCACGTTTTGACCTTAATGAAGTATTTTGTTTGTTTCCTCGATCCATGGTTTGCTCCTGAAGTGGCCATTTGGTGATGTCTGGGAATCTTGGGAGCGTAGCCGGAAATCCATGTCTCCCCATGATCCACATGACTGGGGTGTAGGCATCTTTACTCAATGATCGTCTACGAAGTGCAGGTGTGAGTGATTCCCATGTTCGGCATATCATGCTCATGTTTGGCCGGACTGTGTGTTCTGACTCGTCCACCTCGTTCATGCGCCATTGTCGATTGCCCCGCTCAGCTCCGCGTGGCTATATGCACAGCCCATAGCTGTGACTGGAATCGTATGTGCACTGAATAAGACGCTCACCGTCGCCGCTTGTGTGGGAGTCCCTAGTAGGACGAATGAGGATTCGATAAACCACATTCTCCGAAAAGAATGCGAGTCTTCCCACCTCAGCCAGTATCAACAGGTACCTTGGGTTTGTTCTTCGATCCAGGGGGTCTTCCCAACCGTGGACGGCAGGTAGGTATCTGCTGCCTCAGCTTTTTATGACGGTGAGGGTCCTTCGGCGGCTTCGGTGGCTTCTCTACCACCACAGGCTCATCGCCCGCTCTACGCTTAGTCTTCGATCCTGGGGGCCTTCCCATGGTATGACCTTCGGTAGGCTTCTTTAAGGTGCTTGAGACTTGGCCTCCGCGTGGACGAGGCGCTTTCTCGGACCACATTTTCAAGGGCCGACCGAGCTTGGGCGCAACGGCTGGAGTGACCTTCTTATCCTTTGCAGAAGCCTTGGAACGCCCTTCGGGTGGCTCTTCCACTTCAACGACTGGGGCGGGTACATGCAAAATGTTGGCTGGGATCTGGCGCATGAGCTTGAGGGTTTCCTGGTCGAGGTTGTCCCTGTCTGGAAAGATGGGCGATCCCATCCAGGTTAATTGTATGTCTTTCATCGTTCCCGAAGTCTTGAACTTGTCCTGACTCTTCTTTGATACCTTCGTGTCTTCTTCTAATCCCTCCTCAGGATCTTCCAGTAAGGCCCGCGGGGTATGCCTCACCGTGACACTTACTCCTTGCAGCCCTCTCTCAGTTGCTGCCCGGTTCCAAACAAATTGCTCCACTAATCCCTCCCGCGATATCAGTATGAAGCCCATAGGGCACAAACTGTTCGCTATGGCTTTCATCACCCCCGTCGTAGCCTTTTTTGTTGTTACCAATAGCCCCAAGACGTCCTTGTTGCGCCAATGCGGTGGTACACCCTGAAAGGATCCTTCGAGTTCGCGGATATGTTTCGGGTTGACACTATTACTCCTTGCCTTGCACTGTACGATGACGGGCATGGGTTCTCTGAGAGGTCCCAGCACCCAGTGTCCAATCAAGTCTATGCCCGCATCCCCCATACGACCTATGCGTAAGAGAGAGAAGCCTAGGCGCATGAGCGCCTGCGCCGACATGTACTCGTAGATAGTACCGATAGCGAGAGTCGAGGTCAAATTCAGATTGGTTTCCTTCGCATATTCGAGGAACGAAGTAAGCGAATCGTGATACAGAGAGCCGGGCGAAAGTCTCAGTTTGGGTAGATCAATTGGCGCAGCATTGCGCGCTGAAGTGGTCGCGATTCGGCGTGGGACGCGGTGCGGAGTAGTTCGGGGGAGCCGTGCGAGGAACGAGGTTTGTGGGAGCCATAGTGGGCGGAGGGAAGGTCGCATCACGGTATCCTGAGATAGCGCTTGGGATATGACATATTTACACGAGAATTGACGCGACCTAGAGTGAATGTGGGTGCCAGGCGTCGAGTGGGGTGAATTGGAGGGAAAGAGCATTCGCGTATAATTTGAGCCCTGGATATGGCGGTGACGCGCTGGGCTAGCCCAGCCGGCGCATTCTACAACTCGGACGCGATACTTGTCTGTAGCATACACACTCAGATCAAGCACGCCAAACTCGCAGCTTCGAGACGCGAATCCCCAGAGACTTCTTAACAGCTAGAAGCTTCACGAATTCAACATATCCACCTGCCACCATGGGCGACATCCTCACCCAAATCCAAGATGAACTGGACATGGTACCACCCTCCAACCAACACACGATCCCTCCTCCTAACAACCCCAGCTCCTAAACCAAATGTCCGCCGCCCTCCGTCAAATCCGCGAAAACGCGCCACCAAGCGTCCCCGAAGGCCAACAACCCCTCGAAACCTTTGCGCAACTAGAAGCACGCAACGCCGCCGAGAACACACAACAAGGCATAGCCCAAGACCCCTCACAACAAACAATCGCGGCCCCGCCCAAACCCTCCCCAGAGCAGTTTCAAGCAGATCTGAAAGAAATGGCACAGGATATTACGTTGAAGGAACAGCAGATTGAGAGGTTGATAGCGCATCTACCGGGTTTGAATTGGAGCGAGAGGGAGCAAGTGGATAGGATGAAGGAGTTGGAGAGGCAGTTGGAGGATCTGGAGGGGGAGAGGGTAAAAGCGGTCAAGGATAAAGATGTCTTGATGAAGATGGTTGAAGATAAGATAACGGGCGTAGGGAGGGTCAGATGAGGTTATAATGCGGCTGAAGCAGGCGCTTTTAGGACTGCGATCGTGTACGTGTCGCACCGGTACCTCACGCTACGTCGCATACATCGTCCGATTTCTCAAGGATATATCATGACGAAGGCCGTCCGACCGCTTTCTAGCTGCTGCAGTGCCGCCAGCATGTCTGCCGTTGCGGCAACACGGATTACGTTGAATATTCAAGAAGCACGCGGTTCTGCACCACTATAGTGATACTTGCAGCTGTGTCGAGCTCAGCACTTTGCTATCACATGTTCCTCTCGCGGAGAGACTGATCACCGTGCAGCAGGATGGCAGCAGGATGGCAGCACTCTGAAGGGCCTTTCAAGGCAAGGAGTAGGCCGTGCCACTCAATAGATCACAATTTACTGATGGTCGAGTTGGAGGTTGAAGTATCCGCATTTTGAAGGTATCGTAATCTCATCGCATTCAGACTGGTCATCTCGCCAGTTCAATGCACGTTCAAGTCATCAGCAAGTATCATCTTCATCTCTCACACCAACTTCTTAGTGGTGGAACAACCGGATGTGCTGCTCAACAAAGGTGATACCCAGCTTCTCAGCCGTCTCGAACACGGCGCCATCGTTCTGGCTTCCCGTAGGCGCAGCAATGTACTTGGCACCACTCCGGTGCGCCCTGAAGACATTGTCGATGAAGGGGAAGAAGGCGTCAGAGCTGACAGCGACGCTCTCCATCTTGGAGAGCCACTCCTTGCGCTCATCGGCGGTGAATGGCTGGGGTACCTCTTCGAAGTTGGCCTCGAAATCGTCGCGCTCGATGCCTGACTCGGGCACGAGACCAGAACACAGGAGGTCGATGGCGTTGGATTTTGAGGGGCGCTTAGTGCCCTTCTTGAACTTGAGGTTCAGCGTCTTTGAGTGGAAACGCATCCACCAGTTGTCGGCTTTGTCACCAGCCAGGCGAGTGCAGTGAATGCGTGCTGTACAGGGATTAGTGGTTGCTCACCATATAGGATATTTCGAACTTACATTGCTGACCAGCTCCGAGACCGACGATCTGGCCATTGAGCGCGTAGCACACACTGTTGGACTGGGTGTACTTGAGCGCAATGGTGGCGACAGTCAAGTCGCGCTGGGCAGGCTCCGGAAGAGCTCCAGAGTTCTTGGGCACAATCACGGTGTTGAAGGTATCGGCAGGAACGATCTTGGCGTCGTTGCGGTGCTGCTTGAGGGTGATGCCGAATACGGTCCTGGTCTCCTCGGGGCCTGGGACGTAGTCAGGGTCCATCTGAAGGACCAGGTACTTTCCACCCTTCTTCTTCTTGAGGATCTCCAGAGCTTCGGCGGTGTAGCCGGGTGCAATGACACCGTCGGAGACCTCGCGGCTGATGATCTTCGCAGTCTGGACATCGACCTCAGCGGACAGGGCAATCATGTCGCCGAAACTTGACATCCTGTCAGCACCACGCGCCCTAGCGTAGGCCTGTGCCAAACCCGACTTCTCAATGCCCTCAATGTCGTCGACCATGTATACCTTGCGCTCCACCTCACTGAGGGGGACTCCGATAGCCGCGCCCGCAGGCGAAACGTGCTTGAAGCTGGCTGCCGCTGGGTAGTTGAGCGCCTTGGTCAGCTCCTGCACCAGAGGCCATGCGTTGAGCGCATCGAGCAGGTTGATGTATCCGGGAGAGCCGCAGAGCACCTTGAAGGGCAGAGACTTTTCCGGCATCGAGACGGTCGCGGGCTTTTGGTGAGGGTTTGCGCCGTATCGGAGGGTGAGGAACTGGTCGCCATCGCCTGCGTACTTCTTCCTGAAGAACTCTGAGATGGCGGTATCGTATGATGAGGTCTGCTCGAAAGCCTTCAACGCGTAGCGCTGTCTGCTGTTCTCTGAGACCTCGCCGTCTTTCTTGAGTTCGGTAAGGAGGTCATGGTAATCGTTGGGGTCGCTGATGATGGTGACGCGTGCGTGGTTCTTCGCGGCGGCCCTAAGAAGGGTGACACCTCCGATATCGATCTCCTCGACGGCCTCTGGGATGGTAACGTTGATGCGCGCGACGGTCTCGGAGAAGGGGTACAGGTTGCATACGACGAAGTCGATCTTGTCGATGCTATTGGCGGAGAGGTCTGAGTCGTCCGAGTCGAGGTTGCGCGCGAGAATGCCTCCGTGTACGGCGGGGTGGAGCGTCTTGACGCGTCCACCGAGCATCTCAGGCGCCTTGGTGATGGCAGAGACATCTTCTACGGGGAAGTTGGCCTGGCGGATCATCTTGGCCGTACCGCCCGAGGCCAGCAGTCGGACACCGCATTCGTGCAGTCCCTTGGCCAGGTCAAGAAGACCGGTCTTGTCATAAACTGACAGAATCGCTGTCGCAAAGAGTTAGGAGTAATCCATGGGTACTGGTAGCGTGTGATTACCTGTCTTTTGGCCTCCCATGTTGACTATGATTTGAGTGTTCAGTTGTCAATTGAAGAGAGAGGCAGTCAAGTAAAGCAGAGATCTGGGGTACAAAACAATGGCGCACGACACACTGTGGAGTTTTTTTGGCGTCGCGGGGCTCAGAAGTGACCTCATTTGCCTGCCCCTCCATGGCTTTAGCCCGATTGGCCAGAGCTCGTCTCCGCTACGCGACTGCGAGACGCAAACTCCAGATGACTACGGCTCGTATCCTTTAGATATACACGTAGCTCCCGCCGTGCATCGCCTGTCTTCCCATATCCATGTGTCGTACCGATCATGGCGTCCACTCACCGCTCGTCAGCTCTTCCACGCAGTGTTGAGCTATGAGCCAATCGCCATGGCCATGTCAATTATCGCGCCTCGGTTCTCCGTTGCGATACGCATATATCAGCCGCTGAATCTCTCAAGAATCACATCCGCCGCCATTTGGACCTCATCGCGGCGCGCGTTTCTTTTTTGTGTCACTTGCATGCACATCAGTACCCGCGACAAGTCACCACCCTCTCTAACTTGCCGCGGGCCTTCCGACCCATCCATCTTCGAACGCGTACTTCCATTCCCAACGCATTGAGATCCCGTAGACATCATGACAACACATAGTAGTACCGAAGACCTCGTCAGCCATCTCCAGTCCATTCTGCTGGAGCTCAACGCGAACCCCTATCCTGATGTCGCGTGTCCGCCAAACCTGCCTAAACGCGCTTCTGTAGCCCTCATCCTTCGCATACAACCAAACTACTCGCATTGGCCTGACAGCTCCGATAGCCCTTTGCCGCCTCGACGCAGACGATCATCTGTCGCACAGCCTCATTCCGAATTCGACTTTGAGTCGTCACTAAGCGCCTTCTTCTCACAAGAATGGGTCAAGCACGGCGACCCCGAGCTACTGTTCATAAAGCGAGCTGCACGGATTGGTGATAAGTGGAACGGACATGTTGCGTTGCCAGGTGGAAAGAGGGATCCAGAGGATGAGGACGACCAGGCAGCAGCAGCTAGAGAAGCGCTCGAAGAGGTTGGCATTGATCTGAGCCCTGCCAATGCGATCGCGGTCGGTAATCTGCCGCAGCGGATCGTCACGACGAGCTGGGGCAAAGTACCGTACGTCGTCACACTCAACATCACTTAGACTTGGATCATGGAGACTATAATCGACCGAACCTCGGCTGACCACAAGCAGACTCATGGTACTATGCCCGTACATCTACCTCCTGACCTCTCCCGCCTACCCACAGCAACGCCTGCAGCCCACCGAAGTAGCCTCGTCACATTGGGTCCCCATTCGCGCCCTTCTCTCGCCGGCTCTCCGTACACACGAATACGCCGATGTCTCGGCGCGTCTGGCAAAGTCTGAACTTGGTATCAAGCGCTGGTTCCTACAAGCCATGCTGAGCAAGATGATGTTTGCTGCCATACAACTCGTACCAGCCAACTCGACGCATTGCGCAACCATCCCCGATTTCATACCCGTCGAAGCAGCGCCACAGAGTGTCACAAATACAGTCAGAGAAGCATTGGCAGGCCCCGAGGGTAGATCCAGGGACCGCAAGCCTCCATTATTGCTATGGGGTCTGACATTGGGCGTCGTAAGCGATTTTCTAGAACACATGCCGCCACACAACGCGCTGGAGCTCTGGACATACCCTACGTTTACCAACTGGGACGTGAGGTTCGTCATGTGGGCCATGTCATACCGGTTCCGGAAGCAGAAGTCTCTGGAAATGAGCACAGCTGCCTCGAGCGTGACAACGACGAATAGTCAGGATGCGACAGGACTGCCTACACAAGACTTCCCAGGTATTGGCAGTGAAGCGCTTGGGTCTTTGGAGGAAGAGAAGCCCGGCGAGGTCGGCATAGCTGGCTTGGGTGTAGGAAGAGGGTGGGGACAAAGCGGGAGAGCGAAGATGATGGCGAGAGGCGCTGCAGTCAACTCCATGTTGGAGGGCTACTATCCGCTTGTCAGGAGGGCGGTTGCCACGGCACTTGTTGGGCGGATCAGTGTTGTGGCTTTGGTTGCGTTTTTGGCTTGGAAGAAGTTGGATGTTAGATCGCTAAGAGCACGACTGTAGTGGTAGAACGATACATCTTTTTGACGCGCAAACCTTTCGATTTTCATCCCCAATTCTCTGTCTGTTCTGCCATTATGCGCAATGCCAGACTAGGGTAGTCAACCTCATTTCTTAGTATGGTGGCCTGATTTCGCTGACAGCTGACTAGATAGCATTCGGGCTTCGTACTTGAGTCTAGTTACAGGTAAGAGCATGCTTCCGACGATGCCATTGGAACTGTCATTTGTTGAATCCATGTCAGGCTTTGAATACCACATCTGTATATGCGCAACGGAATAAACACTCCCAAGATCGACGTATCCTCCTCGTTCATCCATGCTGTACGTGATAGCTACTAGCGGACGAGCTGGTCTGCCCCAGTGTTGCTATTTCCTGGTTCAGTAGTGACTACATCAATACAATGAGGGCTTCATGAAGGGACTGGTCGGGCCGAAGATTGAAACATCGTGCTTCAAGGCCGTAGGGTCTGATGCGAAGATCTGCTGAAATTTGCTTGCACAGCACAGTCCCTACCTGCCCTTACGACATACCCTGTAAAGACCCCAATACAACATCCTCACACTTCGCATCATACTTCTCCGGTCTCGCAAACGAGACCTCCGCTCGATTCCCAACAGCAATCTCACCCCAACTCTTCTTCTCCGGATCAAAGACCGGCCAGCCCAGCTTCGTCAGTCCATCCTTCGAGTCCTCAGTGAACGCCGCAACAGCGCGCTGCACAAGCCTGACAGTGTCTTTCTGTGCCTGCGTTTGAGGGAGGCCACTGGCATCCGCAGAGCCACCGAAAATCATGTTCAGTTCAGTCCCGTGATACGCACCAGATGTAGGATACAGACGGGTATTGTTCCAGTCGCCGTAGTATCGGTAGACCCATGTGGGTACACCAGCATCGATGCGTGCATTAGCTTCATGGGAAACGGGGCAGACGAAGGACTCAAGGAGGAACTGGTCACCCTGCGCCTTCGTCACATTTCTACCTTGGGCAAAAGCTGGGATGACATAGTAGCTTTGTTCGTGGTCGTTGTGGCCGTGGAAATAAGGCAGTTTAGCGAAGTCGCCGGCTGCTGAGCGGGAGAGGTAGTCGGCGAAGATGGTTTCGTTGTCGACCAGGGGGTAGAAAGGCGGTGTTGAACGGACGGGACTGCCGCCTGGGCTGGGAGCGATCTTTGCTGCGGCTTCTGACAGGACTTCCCAGGTTTGACGGCGCATGCAGGATAGTGTGTCGTTTGATGAGCCGCAGCCTACTAGGTTGACGATGTCAACCCAGTTGGATCGTTGCTTTTCTGGGGTGTTCATAGGGAAGCTGAATGCGTTTCCTGATGTGGACATGAGACCGTGGACGATAGGGTTCTCCTTGTACGCATAGGACCACCAGTCCACAGCTGCACCGCCGGAAGATTGACCGGATATGACGATTTTCTTCGCGTCTCCGCCAAATGCTGCGATGTTCTTCTGGAGCCATTCCACTGCGAGACGCTGGTCCCGCAATCCTAGGTTGGTTTCTGCATCAGGGGCACCAGGGAAGCCAAAGACATTGAGGCGGTAGTTGACTGAAACGACGACGATGTCCTCGTTGTTTGCGAGGTATTGGCCATTGGCAAAGGGCGTGTTGGTATAGCCACCAGCGAAGCCTGTTCAAGTAAGACAAGTGGACGTTGGGGATGGGAGGACAAATGATGACCTACGTCCTCCATGAAAGAAAACATAGACAGGTTTCTTCGCCTTAGCAGACTTAATGCTTGGCTTCGACCAGATGTTCAAGGTAAGACAGTCCTCACTTGTGGGCATTCCAGCACCACCAGCAAACTGAAATAAGGGTTCAAATCAGTACCTATTGGCAGGTGTGGGTAGTGTTGCATATCAATGGTAACGTACTTGGAACGGTTAGCACAGTTATAGATAGAGTATAGGGTACTTCGTGTGTGTCAAGATGCACGAACTCGCGAGCTGTCGCTACGGCGTCTTGCACTGATATGCCCTCTGTTTCTGGGATTTCGTACCGGAGTCAAGGACAGTCAATGCTTGAGGAGTAAATCCAGGAAATTCGGGCCAGCTAGGAGGTTGTTGTGGGCAGCCACTGTGCATAACATCAGCCTAATAATACATGCGGCATCAATACCAGACGCCTACTATCCCTGTTCTGATCGTCAACACATTTGCATCCTATGGGCTGGTAACGCCAAATAAATGCTTACAAAATTGGCAGCAATATAATCATCCTGGCCTTTGTATTTCTGAGGCGCAGCGAATCGTAAAGCACCAAGTGGTGGCTGCGCAAATGGGATGCCCAGATACTCCCAGACCCCGTTGACTTTGGGTGAACGATGGCCTGTGATCTGCCCGTTCTCCGTCTTCGCGTGCTCGTAGGAGAATGTCTTCGGCGCAGCCAGAGACAACTCAATGGCACATAGCCACAATGATAGGGTTACAAGACTATGCATCTTGATCTAATCACTCCTTACAAGAGCAGCGATTGTCGACAGAGAGGTGCGGCTGAAAATTGGTGTCCGTAGGATTGTGTGCTCTTTGAGATGCAGGAGGCAATAAGAACGCTGGTCGCAACCTTAGATTCGATTGCTGCCGTGCGCGAATATAGTTGGAAATGCCTTCGATGTCCTTATGTCCGAACTACCCTGCAGGACAGCTCGTACAACTACGCCGCATACAAGGTTCCTTGACGCCTTTCCTCAAACGGGAGGCCGACGCGTGAAGGATTGTCGCTTATGTGTTTCCCGGGGTCGGAGGAACACTGATCGGTTCACCCGACCCGAAGATCACCACATTCGATAATGTCTCTCCACTGATAGCGATATGAGCTGTTGTTACAGCCAGTGAAGTTGGGTCCATGACATAGAGACGTGAAAAGGCAAAGTGGGCTCCACGGCACAAGCATTTGGTTGCAGACCGAAGGATGAGAACAAAGCATTCAGATAATGACCTTGTCCGCTCGAGGCTTCGACTTAGTTGTGTCTTTCGCACAGAGCAATTTGTCGAGCGATACGGACTTCCATACGAGATGACGTTCAATATGGGTTTCCCATTAGATGGTGAAGCCAACCAAGGATGGAAGCTGTACTTGACATCTCTTGTAATGATCATTGTCGCTGGCCTCACGGTCGTTGCCAGAATTGTCGTTCGACTTCGAGGAGATGTGGCATTACGCGCTGACGACTACGCGATCGTAGCGTCTTTGGTAAGTCCAGTGTATGCTCGCTGGTGTTCTGACTAAGACGTATTAGCTATTCTCCATATCGATGTCGGCCTTTGTTCATATATCTGTTGGGTACGGCTATGGCAAACACAAGGCTGATCTTTCGATCGAAGAGTTGCGGACGTGCCTCAAGTTTTTCTGGTTCGCGCAGACACCATACAAAGTCGTGATGTGCCTGAACAAAATCTCCGTTATCCTGTTGTACAAGCGCATTTTCAGTTCAAGCATGCTCATCTCACGCCACTTCCGTTGGATGTATTATTGCGCGCTTTCCATCGTTGTCGCGTCTGGGATTGCCACTGTTTTCGCGACTATCTTCCAATGCGTCCCAATCCAGCGATCCTGGGATAAGGATATCGAAGGAAACTGCATCGACAGCTCGGAATTTTGGGTCGCAAACGCCGCGATCAATATTACGACAGATGTGATCGTATTGGCACTGCCCATCCGGGAAATCTCGGGACTACGGCTCAAATCCCAAGAGATGATTCTCCTATACAGCATATTCTTGCTCGGCGGGTTGTAAGTATTGCTTGTATAGACAGCTATCTTGCGTGTGCATCACCATATGCTGAACATGCACTGACAGTATCATTAGTGTAACAATAACGTCCATACTACGTGCTACAGCCGTTACTAATAGCGTGCGCAACCAACGAGACGAAACCTGGGATTTTATAGAGCGAGGCCTCTGGACGTTGGCCGAGGCAAATCTAGGCATAATCTCCGCATGTTTGATTGTGCTGAAGCAAGTCGTGTGCCGCTATTTCTCGTCAGCACTTGGAAGTATAAGGAGGACGCCCAAAGCCAGGAATGAACACTGATAAACAATGGTGCTTCCACCTCATACAAGAAAAAAACCTGAACAGGCCTGCGGGCTACATCAAGACAAAAACCTGAAAAGTGGGTGACCCAACGTAAACGTAGGCTCCAGGGTGTTCAAGTTTTTCCTAGGGTGGCGTGCTTCACTATAGCATGTGTTGTGTTGATCGTGAACCCAGTGCCACACTCAAGGTCCACGTATGCGGTAAGTGGCCAATTGTGACGAGTACCTCGGAGACACGTGAAAACCCCTTTAGGGTCTGCGACTAGAGTGATCGATTTCCAGCACGAGACCTGCCCGGTGCATTTGAGATCATCGCCGCCCCAGCAAAACGTTTGTAACATGTGGAAATCGCCATTGAAGCTCGTCGCTTGCTAGTATGCGCCAAGATCAAGGTTGCAAGTCCCAGGATCGATCTGAGGGGCCCGATAAAGCCGTTGAACGTGTTTTAGGGGCGATCCTCCGCTCAATATTCTCCGTGATCCACTTGCCGGTGGTGATGGGGTAGTGGGGTTGGCATGTGAAAGTCCCGAGTACGTAGGTGCTAGTCGCTACAGCGCGACCACACTTATCGAAGATGGCCGAGAGAAGGCTGAACGCAGTTCCAGAACCGGATTAGTCTGTAAAGAAATGCGTGATGAGAAGAAGAAAGTTGACATCATTAGAGTGTGTTTGGGGCGAAAGATGTGAGACGTCCTGCTACAACGGCCCGAACGGAGGTGAGTCTCAGCAAGAGACCTTGAACGCGAGCAAAGCATAGCGAGTGCAATGTGTTCTGAGTATCGTGATACAGGTGTAAGAGGAGTACTGCGCTAGACGCCAATTCGACGTGGTTCGAGGACCGTTGTGGTATGGCTTGCGAGATTCTGCTAGCAAAGATAAGATAGACTAGCGTAACCGAGAGCGCCAAGCGATGCACCTGGACATGTACGGGGCAGTCGCTAGATGTGAGATGACGATGTATAG